AGAATGATTTATTTGGTTCTTTATATTTTTGAGGTTTATTTTGATTGTCTTGCTGTTTTTGTCTACATTCGGAAATACTATGTCCGTATCGTCGGCAATAATTACACCATTTTTTGAAAGATGGTTTGCCTTTAAAGTTTGGGTTCTTTTCGTAAATATTGAGTATTTCAGTGATTTTTTCAACGAGGTCTGTCTCTGATTCCTGTATATTATTAATATTAGTAGGAGTCGTTTCAATTCTGTTAACGTATTGTAATTTCAGATTTTCCGTTTCTTCTAGTTTCATCGTGATTTCTGCTTGTTCTAATTTGTCTACTAGTTTTCGAAAATCTAAATCGGGTTCTCGAATTGAAGAAGGATGGGATGCTCTCTTTTTTATTGCTATTTTCCTTAATTGTGGTGTTAAGGTCATCATTAAGATTTCTGTCATCTTTGTGTTTTTATAGTCATGTGTATTTAATGAATATGCTTTTCGAACTAGTGTTTCGATTCGTACTGCTATTTGCTTGATGGTTTCGTTTGGTAATCTGCGAATTTCATTACATAAAACTCTTTGTTGTTGTTTGTTTCTTTCGGAGTCAAACATTTTTGAAAATTCCTGTGTAAACCTTTTCCAGTTTGATTTTATTTCTAGAGGTAGTACTGAAAACCATTTTTGGGCTGCGCCATCTAAGGTTGTTTGTATTAACGCTGTGCGTCGATGTATCCAATTTTGATGTAGTGGCGTATTAATTGGTTCAGGTCCAATATTTAAAATCAGGTTTGCTGTTACTGCATTTAAATAATCTTCTACAGAATATTCAGGGTCTGTTCCTGTGAAAACCATTAAAGGTTTGTTTGATGTTATTGATGATCCACCCATAAGGTATGGATTCATTGTCATTTGTAATGATTCTGCTGCATTTGGCATTTGAGAAAAATTTGAAAGTTGGTTTCTTGTTATTTCATGTTGTTGGAGATAATATGGGAGTGGTATTTCATTTTGCATTTGTGATGCTTGATACGAGTGTGCAGTCATTGGATTTTGTTGTTGAATTGGTTGAAAAGATTGTGTATTAATTAGATTTTGTTGTTGAATTGGTTGTTGATGTTGTGCATCTATTGGTTGTGGAGAAAAATTTCTATGATTTGTACGTGTTTTCTGTATTCCTTGTCTACGATATTCTTGAGTATTTGGTGCAAATATATCTGGTTGTAAGAAATAATCATCTGAGGATAAATAATCCATTTGATAAGATGTCTGTTTTTTATTTTTATTTTGTTGAAAAAATGGGTAATTTTCACTGTGATCCTGTGGAGGATTTGTTTGGAAATTTATTGAATTAGGTTGGGTCATTGGGTTATCCCAATTTCGAGATCTTGTATATTGGTTAAAATTTCTTTGTGGTTGATTATATGTTTTTGATGGATGTGTATAATTATAATTATGGTCTGTAAAGTTGTTTCTAGTGAATGTTTTGCGTGTTTTTGATGTTATTGTCATGGGTCTGTATGTTTGGTAATCCATATGTGAATATTTAGGGGCAACCGAAGGTTTAACGGTTGATTGTAAGGTTACCTGTGTTTGTGAAGGATTTGTATTTCTTGGTGTTGTTAAATTTGGGCGTATTGGTGAAATACTTTGTTGTGTAGTTGTTGTGTGTACAATTTCTTCATTTATGAAGTGTGATGGTGTCTGGATATCTTGTTGAGTAAGATTCCTAGTTCCATTGAGGTTTTCATTGTGTATAACTGTAGAGTTTAAACTATTATTTTGTGTATCGGGTAAAAATGTATTATAGTTTAATGGTGTCGCATCAATGGTTAATGGTATTACTTTTACATAATCTCTTATGTAAGATATTGTACTTATTGCATGACTTGAGATTGTTTGTGGGAAGCTTATAAATGCGGGATGAGACCATTCGGGGTCCCAAACATAATCTGATTGTTCTGTGATAGCGGTATCATCGTTCGAGTTTTGGGGTCTAAAATTTTTTCTTGCTTGTGCAATTAAATCAATATTGTGTGTGAAATAATCTATTATGAACCATGCCAAAATTTTTTGTAGATCGTGTTTTGAATGTTGTGAAACGTCGTCTTTCGTGAAATTTTCTTTAATGATGTTTAAATAACTAGAGAGTAGTGTGATTTCATGTCGTACTCTTAAATGTTTAGATGTTTCTGTCGGTGAGACATTTGTTATTGGGATTTCGTTTTCTAATATCGAAATATAACTATATATTATTGCGAAAACTTCATTGGTGAATATGGAGTTTGCTCTTTGTGAGTTATGATATTGGATGCTTTTTATATATATTCTGAAAAAACTTTTGAAAATTCTAAATCAAGATCGTCTGTTTGAATTGTATATTTTCTATTATTATGGTTTGGTGAGGTGAATTCTATGGAGTAGATTCCATACTGTTGTGTTATGTTGCATATATCTTTTAAGTAGTGGTCTATGATTTGTCTTTTGATTTTTACATCTGGGAACTCTGTTTTACATGGACTGATTCCGGGTTCAAATAAATTTAATAGTAAATTTTTGCAAAATATATGCTGTCCTCTATCAGTGGTTGCATCTACTATAAAAGGAAAGATTTCATCATCATCTGGACTTTCTTCACCTGGAGTGTGCGTTGAGCTCATTTTTTCGTTCGATGACTGTTAATATGTAATTATTAATGTGTCGAATTGGTTGATTCCAATTGTATAAATGTACTGGTTTGTGTTTATACTGCTTTTTTATTCTTCTTTTTCCTCTTTTTGATGGATTTGAAGTTGTTTCTGAGTCAGAAAAATATAATTGATCGTGAAGTGGGTAATTTTTATCTATTGATTCTTTTAGTTTGTAAAGTTCGTCTAAACTGTTGGTTTCTGATTCTGAAAATGCGTTTCGATTTTTTGAAAATCTTTTTCGTGTTATTTGTCTTTGTTTCGTTATTATTTTTCTTTTTAGTGTTTGTCGTTTTGTTCGAATGTATCCAACTGTTTGTGTATGAGGTGTGATTACAAGGTCGTATTTTTTGTTATCTATTTCACAATTGTGTAAAACGATTGTTTGTTTATTTCCTAGGTTTTTAAATGACATAAGGTTTAGGATGACGGATGCAAAAGGTTGTTAAATGATTTCTATTTTCCTAAACTGTTAGTTCTTACGATTTTTTGGTTAGCTTAACCTGGGTCTATTTGTTCAGGGTTGGAGAGAAAAGTATATCGATTCCGAAGAATGATTTTTTACTTTCTCGTGGCTAGTATAAGTTAAGGTGTTAACTTACTTAATCTTACTTAGGGGTAGTGATTGTGTTCAAGGGTTGGAGAATAGTAAATCGATCCACAAGGTTCAGGTATAATTAGAACGCGAGTAGTTCGTTAGATACTATTTTAAACTTACTAAGTCTAAGATTTATCCTGGGTCTGGTAAGAGGGGGGGTCAAGTGAAGGATGAATAACCGAAGTTCTTCACTATTTATCCTAATTTGAATGATTAGTTTTGTTTAAAAATTTCTATTAGTCTTAGGTCTTTAGAAAGGGTTGGGTAGTGAATCGACGTTTTAGGTCGTTAGACACTAATTAAGTGGGTGGGGGAGAACAAAGTTGTTCTGTTTGATCCAAGGATAAGCCTTGATGATCAAATTTGAAATTTAATTAAGTAGAAAATGATTTAAGATCCAAGGAGAAGCCTTGATGATCTGGTTTTAAAATTAAGTGAATTTAAGTTTTAATAAAATTTTAAATGTGTGTAAAGGAAAGATTTAGTGTTTTGATGATATTAGTGGGTTTATGATTGCTGTTATGTTTTAGGTGATGGAGCTGGAACAACAGGATGATTTATGATTACTAACCATTTATTGTCATGCTACTAATTTTTATTTTTTATTTTTCAATAATTATTTTTCAAACATGTTTTGTATATTACTGCAGAGTTTTAGGAAAACTATCTTAGATCTTTTTATCAATCGTTATTGTATATTAATAATTTTGTTTAGCGCCTGAAATGATTTTGAAGATTAACTTCAAGGTTTTATGTTTGCAAATGAAAATCTAAATTCATTGCCAGTAGTATTCTAAATATAAAAGTTTGTTCTGGTTTTTGCCTAACTATCATATAGCTATATGGCAAGTTTCTACTTTGTCGTATGTCGTCTCTGGTTCGAGGTCTTCTTCCAATTCCGGGTAGTTCTGTTATGGTTCGGAATATTGGCTCTGATCTATTGAGTCGTAGAGACATTTCGATTAAATTGTCGTATAACATTTTGTAAATGTTTTTGTCTAATTTCTAATCTATTTTGGTTAATTCTAAGCTATTAAGGTCTTGTTCGAGACTTATGGTCGCACCAGATGAGTTATGACTGGAGTGTATAACTCATAGAGTAATTTCGGATAGGGTACACCGTCTGCTCGTCACGCTATCTTATTTTCGGCCGGATAGATTCGTGCAACTTCTTAGTCTAATACCGATCCTAATCTTACTCTTATACTATCTAGTCTCAGGTTGTTTAACTAGTCTCTGCTAGGCTCAATAGATCTAGGGTATACTGGTTTATTGCGGCTGCTGAAGTGCTCGGGAGAGTCCAACTAATTTCTAAGTTAAATTCAAATCTCTCTGGTGCTGAAATTACAAGTAACTTCAGCACTTACAAATAAGTGGGTTGTTAGTTAGATGGATCATGATTGGTTAATATTAAATACTTTACATTGGTAAAATATCTAATTTATCCAATCATAAAATGTAGTTTAGATCAGGTTCCAATAGATTTGGTTTTTTTTATTGTTTATTTTTACCGTTTACTTTTGTACTGATACATATCTTCGGAAAAAACTGAATCTCAATTTATATTAAATTTATTGAATTAAAGCTTAGAAAAATAACCAAAAATACATGCATATATTTATAAAGCAGGAACAAGCACAACAGCGGTTCTTTGTGATGAGATGAACAGCTCGTATGTTGGTCCTTTCCTGTGTGGATAAATCGTTTTAACTTCAACTTTACAAGAATAAATTGTATTTTTCAGGTCACGACACAACGGCAGCTGCCATGTCTTTTGTACTGCAGATGTTGTGCAACTACCCGGAAGTGATGCAGAAACTACAGGAAGAAGTAGACGAGGCTTTCGCCACTGTAGCTTTGGAAGAAGAAAATGTCCAGGAGGTCAAGGTCAGACAAAACATCTTCTGCTGTATTATATATACTAGCTTATATCAGATCTCTTTAACCCGAGTCGAGATTTTTCACCAAATTTGAAGCAAGATTTGAGCGTTTTTTTTTTAGACAATTGCGCTCAAAATCTTGCTTCAAAATGAGCGGTTTAAGCGGTTTTTGAACGGTTTATCAAAAAAAAACGCTCAAAAACCGTTCAAATTTTGAGCGGTTTTGAGCGGGATCTCGACCCGTGAACTATTTCCTCTCTTTTGCAAAAGAAAGTAGTGAGAGGGGAGGGGGAGGCAGATCTGTTACTAGGTACAAAAAGTGTATATGCTTAACCGTAAAATAACTTCATGTATCTGGGTTACATGGCCATTGGAAAACTTGGATTACCTGCAAGGAATTTAAAGAGTCCAGAGGAATCCTGGACTTCTTGGCAGGAACCATCCAGGACATTGATTGACCAGAAGTCTAGGATTCAGAGGAGGTCTCAGCTACTCAAATCAAGAACTGCAATTTTATCCGACAAAACATAACCCAAATGAGTTTTGACCTCCCTAAATATTCTATTGTTCAGCGGTTTTTGTGAAACTTAACCTGAGCATTTTCACGGGTGAATCTGATTTGTTCTAGTAAGTTCTTCAAAGCATGCCACAGTTTAGCTGTCTGTGTGAAATTTTTTCACGGGGGAATTTGATTTGTTCTAGAAAGTTCTTCAAAGCATGCCTTATTTGGACGCAGTGTTGAAGGAGGGACTGCGTATGTTCCCTTCAGTCCCTTCTATCGGGAGAACCCTCACTGATGACATAGAGATAGAGGGCTACAAACTACTCCAGGGCACTCAGGTCATACTTCACATATATGCCATACATCATGACCCGGAGTTGTATAGTGAGCCATACACGTTCAACCCCGACAGGTAATGAACGTAGTCTCAAATAAGTAATTGATTTTGATTAGATTTTGATTTATCTGTGCCAAATTAATTAGCATCTGATTAATGAGATTTATTTTTTGCAACCATTTATGCCAATTAAAAACTTAATAACTTAAAAAATATGTTATTTTTAATTGATTAGAAAAAACTCCCAAAGAGCATTTGAGTTCATAAACGCTGAAAAATTCAAGATCAAAATAAAATAAACTTCAATTTTAATATAGTAACCTTCAACTTCATTAAATTTAAATTTTGTTTGTGTTCTTTCAAGTTATCTAAAGTATAGGTTATCTGAAAAAATCTGAAGCGAGCGAATTAAATGGTTTATTTTATTGTTTTGTTTTCGCTATTGCAGATGGATTAACAAAGAAGTGCCGATCGATGAACACCCATACTGCTACGTCCCATTCAGCGGTCAGTCCACAAATAAGTCTATTTTAATTAAAAGAATTCATTGTAAATCCAAAACGTAAAAAATCTTTATTGGATTTTTGAAAATGGAGTTCTTTGGAAGCTCAAAATTTTATAAAATGTACTCAATACCTTTTTTTTCAAATTGGGGTCATTTTTCGGCGTGATATAATTAAGGGATCTCAACAAAAAAATATTTCTGAGGCATATTTGACGGTCATACTAAAATAATTGAAAAATAATTTTTTTAGAATAACAACTAGAAAAACGAAAAATTTGAAGTTTCCCAAAAATTTTTCAGAACTTTTTGAACTTTTGAAGTTTTCGATTCAGACAAGGAGGTAAAATACTACAACTGAAATTCTGTGAGAAAAAATATGTTTTTACGGCTTAATTAGGTTATTAGTAAGCTTTTAGGCCACTAAAAAAACCTACGCATTTTTTCGTGGATTCGACCCCATGCCTACCCAAAGGGTTCCCCCAGTGTAATGTTTTGAGATATCCATATTTGGTGACGGACGCTTTGGCCTTTGGTGCTAATAAAAACTGATTTTGAGGAGGAGCGCGCGCCAAAAAAAGCCGTTTTTTGCCTGTTTCTCTAAAAGTTTGCCTGCGGCGCACAAAATTTGGCCAAAACAGGGTCTTTTAAATGATTTGGGAGAGCTCCGAAAATTAATTTGGTCGACCTCAAAAAAAATCAATAAAAATTTTGGAAATTTTTTGAAAAACCGTCTCCACCATTCGAGAAAATCTCATATCCGCCCATGGTTCACTGATTTATTATTTCTTACTGATTTTTACTGTAAATTCATGCAGAAAAGCTAAATTCTAATCCATTATATTTCATTTTTCTTGAAAAATATAATTTTGATAGAAAAATGGATTAAATCTTTTATAGTAGATTATAAGAGATTAAAAGAGAATTTCGGAAAAATTGTAATCAATTTTCATTGATTATAATTTATTAAACTGTCACCAAAAATGTTATTATTATAATCGTTGATAAATCGTTTACACATCTAAAATTGTCGCTTATAATTAATTATAATTTTGCTAAAAGTGCGATTAAAATTATAATATAATCGATTATTTTCTCTTTTTACTAGCGGGTATTTATTCGCTCGATTTACGTCGAAAAGTCAAAAACTTCAAGCCGGTTTTCCTCGACACTGGATAAACTTTTCCAAAATTTTTTAAATGTTCGAATTACAATTGGAAGGGCTTCAATATGAAATATCATTCAACTCTCGCCGATGATTGTTTGTGTTAGTTGAGTTTTGCGTGGAAAACAAAAAAACTTGCGTAAAAAAAAACAAATAAAATGGAGATCAGTTTAATTCATAATAGGAGTTTTTTATGGATTATAATGGGTTATAACAGATTATAATGGATTATAATAATTCGTATGAGTTGGAGCCTGTATTTTCCAAAACTTTCACAATATATTCACAATTTTAACGCTACAATTGCTAAATTGTGTTTGACATTTAGCTGCAGCAAAAACTTAGATTGTTTTCTACTTTCTTTTCGACTTATATTTACCGTGCAAATACGTTAAAATACATGAAACGCGTGCTAATTCCCCCACCTCCAACCCCCACACCGACACACCTTTAAACCCCCCTGCAGAACATTACGCAACCTTGCCGACCATTACGCCCTCTCTGCAGACCTTTACGCCACCAAACGTAAGTGGGTATATTGGCAGGGGTAGGGTAGGTGGGGGTGTAGGCGCGTGGGGGGTCTAAGTTTTTTTGAGGGGGTGGGGGGTGAGGGTAGGTGAGGATGGGGTTTATAGAGATTATTTGTGATTGTAATTAAAAACTTTATAATTTTTTTTAGATTATAATGCACTTTAATGGGCTTTGAATGAATTTGGAACAAAAAAACACTATCGATTATTATACATGGAAGCTCGCTGCTGGTAGGTTAAAAATCTCATATGCTCAACCGTTGAATATGGAGAGGGGATTTGTTACCAGGTAACATAGGGGTCTAGGGAATAGTCAAAGTCAAAGCGATCCCTTTTCCTCAGGAATTCGATTATTAGATAAATTTTCATCCATTTTTGGACAATCGACTCTAAATTTTTCAAAAGCATTCAGAAAAATTTTTGTTTTAGAATTAATTTTTCACGACTAGTAATTTTTTTGATCGAATAAGGTATTTTTTCAGCTGGACCCAGAAACTGCATTGGCCAGAAGTTCGCCCTTCTAGAAGATAAACTGATCATATCATCGATTGCTCGTCACTTCGACCTCAAATCGGACACTGAGCACAAAGACATGGAGGTGTTCGGCCAAGTGATCATGCGACCAGTGAAATATTTCAACATTAAATTCACTCGCAGATCTGAACAAAAATGAAATGCAAAATAGTAACGCTGAAAAAAAATAACTTTCAACAAAAAGGTCTGTTTTGCGCTAGGTTGTCATTGTATGAATGAGTTTGAACGCCAAGAGATAATTGATCCAGGTTCCTGAAATTTCATTGTAAACTGAAAAGTTTAGTTTTTGTAAGAAAGCTAACCTATTTGAACGTTTCTTTTTGCCATTTTGTCTTTTTAAATTAAGCTGATAATTTTCCCTTTTCTACCCTTTGTGCTTCTTGAACATCATTGGCCCTCCTAATTGGATGTATGATGAACGTATTTTGTTTGATTTACTCATGTTACTCTCAACTACATGTAATTTTATTGATGACAAAGTTTTAGGTCCACCTTCTAGGTGTACATATTTATATAGAAACAGTAGCGGATTTAGGGGAGGGGGAGCGTGCGGACGATCTTTTGCTCAGGGATTCGATCCGCTGCCGACACAAAGGGTCCCCCTTTGTACTATTTTGAGATATCCATTTTCGCCTGATGGACCCTTAAATTTTTCTTAAGGTGCCTTTGGCGCCCATACTTAATTATTCTGAGGGGGAAGTGCGCCCTGAAAAAACGCCAAATTGTGGTCAAAATTTTCCAAAAAAAGCCTAAAAACGCCTTTTGCCTGTTTTTTGCACGTCTTGCCTGCGGCGCACAAAATTTGGCCAAAACAGAGTCTTTTAATTGCTTTGGGAGAGCTCGGAAAAGTAATTTGATCGACCTCAAAAAAACTCAATAAAATTTTTGGAAATTTTTTGAAAAACCGTCTCCATCATTCGAGAAAATCTCATATCCGCCCATGGTTCACTGATTTATTATTTCTTACTGATTTTTACTGTAAATTCATGCAGAAAAGCTAAATTCTAATCCATTATATTTCATTTTTCTTGAAAAATATAATTTTGATAGAAAAAGGGATTAAATCTTTTATAGTAGATTATAAGAGATTAAAAGAGAATTTCGGAAAAATTATAATCAATTTTAATTGATTATAATTTATTAAACTGTCACCAAAAATGTTATTATTATAATCGATGATAAATCGTTTACACATCTAAAATTGTCGCTTGTAATTAATTATAATTTTGCTAAAAGTGCGATTAAAATTATAATATAATCGAATATTTTCTCTTTTTACTAGCGGGTATTTATTCGCTCGATTTACGTCGAAAAGTCGAAAACTTCAAGCCGGTTTTCCTCGACACTGGATAAACTTTTCCAAAATTTTTTAAATAATCGAATTACAATTGGAAGGGCTTCAATATGAAATATCATTCAACTCTCGCCGATGATTGTTTGTGTCAGTTGAGTTTTGCGTGGAAAACAAAAAAACTTGCGTAAAAAACAAATAAAATAGAGATCAGTTTATTTCATAATAGGAGTTTATTATGGATTATAATGGGTTATAACAGATTATAATGGATTATAATAATTCGTATGAGTTGGAGCCTGTATTTTCCAAAACTTTCTCAATATATTCACAATTTTAACGCTACAATCGCTAAATTGTGTTTGACATTTGGCTGCAGCAAAAACTTAGATTGTTTTCTACTTTCTTTTTGACTTATATTTACCGTGCAAATACGTAAAAATACATGAAAAGCGTGCTCATTCAAGCACCTCCAACCCACACACCGACACACCTTTAAACCCCCCTGCAGACCATTACGCACCCTTGCCGACCATTACGCCCTCTCTGCAGACCTTTACGCCACCAAGCGTAAGTGGGTGTATTGGCAGGGGTAGGGTAGGTGGGGGTGTAGGCGCCTGGGGGGTCTAAGTTTTTTTGAGGGGGTGGGGAGTGAGGGTAGGTGAGGATGGGGTTTATAGAGATTATTTGTGATAGTAATTCAAAACTTTATAATTTTTTTTAGAGATTATAATGCACTTTAATGGGCTTTGAATGAATTTGGAACAAAAAAACACTATCGATTATTATACATGGAAGCTCGCTGCTGGTAGGTTAAAAATCTCATATGCTTAACCGTTGAATATGGAGAGGGGATTTGTTACCAGGTAACATAGGGGTCTAGGGAATAGTCAAAGTCAAAGCGATCCCTTTTCCTCAGGAATTCGATTATTAGATAAATTTTCATCCATTTTTGGACAATCGACTCTAAAATTTTTCAAAAGCATTCAGAAAAATTTTTGTTTTTAGATTTAATTTTTCACGACTAGTAATTTTTCGATCGAATAAAGTATTTTTTCAGCTGGACCCAGAAACTGCATTGGCCAGAAGTTCGCCCTTCTAGAAGAGAAACTGATCATATCATCGATTGCTCGTCACTTCGACCTCGAATCGGACACTGAGCACAAAGACATGGAGGTGTTCGGCCAAGTGATCATGCGACCAGTGAAAGATTTCAACATTAAATTCACTCGCAGATCTGAACAAAACTGAAATGCAAAATAGTAACGCTGAAAAAAAAGACTTCAACCAGGAAAAGGTCGTTTTTGCGCTAGGTTGTCATTGTATGAATGAGTTCGAGCGCAAAGAGATACTTGATTCAGGTTCCTGAAATTTCATTGTAAACTTTTCATTGTCATTTAGTTTTTGGAAGAAAGCTAACCTATTTGAGCGTTTCTTTTTGCCATTTTGTCTTTTCAAATTAAGCTCATAATTTTTGCTTTTCTGTCCTTCGTGATTCTTTAACTTTATTCGGTGTATGATGAACGTGTTTTGTTTGATTTACTCATGTTTACTGTCAACTACATGTAATTTTATTGATGACAAAGTTTTAGGTCCACCTTATAGGTGTACATATTTATATACATACAGTAGCGGATTTAGGGGAGGGGGAGTGTGCGGACGATCTTTGGCACCAATACTTACTAATTTTGAGGGGAAGGCGCGCTCCGATAAAGTGCGAAATTTTGGTCAACATTTTCAACCTTTTTGCGTGTTTTTTTTTGCACGCGTTGCCTGCGGCGCAGACAACTTGGCCAAAACAGGATCTTTTTTATTGCTTTGGGAGAGCCCAGAAAATCAATTTGATTGACCTAAAAAAATTCGACAAAATTTTCAAGATTTTTTTTTGAAACACCCCCCCCCCCTCGAGAAAATTCTAGATCCACCCCGGTATACATACACAAAATTGGAAGAAACGCAACAAAAAGAACACACAAAAAATTTATTGATTCAATCAGATGTGGATCTAAGACTTTCTCGAGGGGGCGGATCTTCAAAAAAAATTCGAAAATTTGTCGATCTTTTCTTAGCTCTCCGAAACCACTATAAAGACCCTTTTGTGACAAAGTTTTCTGCGCCGCAGACATGTAGGAAGATTTTAAACTTACGAGAACTGGATATTTTTTCTTATTAGTCACAAATTTCTTAATTTCAAATGTTCCACCTGTAGAGCACAAGATTGAAACAAAAAGATCATTACTGAGCTTGATGAATTAAATTAACCGGCTCAAGTTTTCGAACCTTTTTTTTTTCAAGTAAGCCGACAGTTAATCAAAGTAGCGCAAAATTGCAAAGATACACCTTTGTTTTTCTGCAAGAGTTTTCAGATTTAGTGTCTGGCTAAATTTTCATCTTAAAAACGTTATAGATTCAAGTTCATTATAGGTTCAAAGCTATAACGGATCTTTTCGTTTGACTAAGTTTGCATCTGACTGAAAATGAAGGCCACACCTTTTCCTTTCTTGCTTTTATCTCATTTGCTAATTCCTGCCAATCAGATAAAAGCTATTATAAGATAAAAAATACTGAAACTTTGAATTTGAACGCTGATAAGTTGTAAGGCAACACAATTTGGATAACGAATGCGATTGAGCTTATTCTAGACACTTTATCAGGGAATGGCGTATTCTAGGAACGTTTAATCAGGAATTTCAAGAAGTAAAGAAACAGGTAACAGATTTTGATTTCAAAGTTTTTTATTACAACGAGCAATTGAGTTGATTTTTGTTCCGACTTTCGTAATGAAAGTAACGGAATAATATGCTCGGGGTGGGTTTTGTTTCTGGTTCTTCAGACAAATTTCAACCTTTTAACTAGCCATTTTTGTCAGAATTTGTTTTTATCATTCAAAAGGTCCTGTTGTCCTGAGCTTAAATTTGAAAAAAAAATATTTTACCTGTATTTTTCGTAAAGTAATGTGGGTTTAAAGATTGCTATTTTGGCCAATTTGGGACTATTAACGCGCGATATATTTTGCGCTGTTAAAGCGTAAGCAGAGATTTAATCCGTCTTAGAACTCGTTCCAAATTGGTTGAAGGAAGCTTATATGCCATAATTGGTTTGATTTGTTAATAGGAGCAAAATCTACGAATTTGTACTTAATATGGCGGTTGTTTTTATAAAAAATCTTAAATTTTTTTAAATTTAATTTTGTTTTATTACATTTGATATTTTCATGTTATTAATGCGCCATAGACCTTTAAAGGCAGTCAAAACATTCAGGGCTTCGTCCTGATACAAGCAGCTTTTTTTACAATTTTGTCGTTTATTTTGCAACTATTTATGACAAAGGGATAAAATTTTGACAAATGCTGGAGATAACTTTTGAAAGGCGTAATTTAACCAGTGTATTATAATTCTTTCTCGCGTGGAAACACGCTCCCAAACTATTCTTGTCGTGGAAACACCCTCCAAAAATTTGAGTTAGTAGATTTTTGACCTACTCTTTATGTAGCCTGAAATTCACAGACAAAAAATGGAGACAGTTGCTTGATACAGCGTCGAAAAACATTTATAGAAAATTTTGCGCTCAGATGTGACCACAAACAAGAGGGACAAATTTTCGACAGACGACGAAGTAACTCTTTCAATTCTCTTGTCTGTCGTTTTCAGCTTTATAAAGAATAGGTCAAGCCCATCAACCTCCCAATGATCCAATTTGATTCCATAATTCAATTTTTTTGTTTTGTGTGCGATCATTCTACAGCAAAAACAACTCTAAAACTAAATATAATAAACTGGCTAATATACGCTTTTGAAACGAGGTTTCTCACAATTCGATCCCGCTTGTCGTTCCAGTTTGTTCCAAAGAGTCGTATCAGTTTGTTTTATCTTGTATTTGTTAAACTTGCAACCCAATTTAGATGAGTTAGGACCGATGTGGTTAACTCATAGAGTAATTTCGGATAGGGTACACCGTCTGCTCGTCACGCTATCTTATTTTCGGCCGGATTGATTCGTGCAACTTCTTTGTCTAATACCGATCCTAATCTTACTCTTATACTATCTAGTCTCAGGTTGTTTAACTAG